TGGGGAGTTAGGGGTTAAAGTAAAACCTGCCTGGTTCTCAAAAAGAAAGTGATGTCACTAATGTGTGCCAGTCACAGGTTGGTAGTAGGCTAGTACAGCCCACAAGAGCTAAAAATGCTGATGTTGTTCATGATATGAAATGTACTGCTGTTGGGAAAAGCATGAGCTCTTGCAGTGTAAAAGCTGTAACTAAAGATGGGTCATTTCTCATAGCAACTGGTGGTAAGACAGCACAGGTGTCCTTGGACATCTCCAGGGGTCTCCGTGTATTGGAGCCGGAGGTTGCCCGGGACAACTGCGATGTCACTCTGGTGGAGCAGAGTGGAACTGCACCTTGTCATAGGAGTGGGTTGGTGCAATCTATTAATACTGAAAGTGTTCAGGTTAACAGCGGGTTAATGCAGCCTGGCAAAAATACAAATGTGTGTGGGTAGTTCAGGAAGCACCACCAGAGCAAAGTGGTGGATGTGAGGTATTGCAACCTGCAGTTGGAAAACAGGTGTTACCTAAGTCTGACATGATCCAGAGTGATTTGTGCAAGGGATCTAAGACTAAGCCCATCTATTCTTATGTGTCTCCTTGGGCGGATGGTTCGGTGCTGAGGAGCGCTGGTGAATTGAGCACAAATACAATGGATTGGGATAGTTGGGGTAAAAGGCTAATCTCATTGATGGATGAGGTTTTTATGCAAAAAAATAAGGTGGACACTGTTTCTGCTGTGCCAGCAGGAGGATCTATAGAACAGCCTATAGATAAGGGCGTGTATACAGCAGAGACTTTGTCTGTGACCCAAAAAAGTGATGTTGGCATGGAATGTAAAAATGATGTTGTCACTGGGAATGATCAGGGGCAGCTTGTGGATGCTGAGTCTGAGATGTTAAGAGTGAGCCCAGCACATGGCAGCGTTCTGGTGGAGCACCAAGCTGTGGTTATCTCCAGCTCGGAGGAGGTCCCTTTAAAAATTTCAACTTCTCAAGTCTCAGCAGGTGAGTCTCTCAGCGTTCCCAGTGCCCTAAATATGGTCAGGAAGGTCTTTGGGTATAGAGTCAAGTGGTTGGGTTGTAACCAAAGTATTAAAGGAGATGCTTGAACTTTGGAATGTACAACCAATGTATATTGAGGTCTCCTCTACAGTCGGATGGTCTGGTACTGCGGAGTACCACTAGGTGGAGCACCAAATGGCTGGCTGTACATATCAAACGGGAACAAGAAAGTGGTTTATTTCTGAATTTGTTGATGGTGTTAAAAGTTGTATCAGGGTATGCCGCTGGATTACCTGTCAATGTGATATATGAGAAATGTTTTGGAGAAATGAAAAATGAGTCAAAAAAGGTTTCACCTCCTAACAGCCAGGTGGGAAGCATTTCTGCTGCTATGCTCCAGGATGGTGCTGGTCAGTTTCAGTTAAGGCGTGTTTACTGCACCATTGGACAAACCACATGAGCTGGAAGGGCCGAGCATGGACCTGAGACCAGCAGAGATCCTGACCAGGGCTCAAATGGATGTGCATAAAGAAATCCGGATCATTGGGCCAAAAAGAGGTTTATGTAGCAGGTCTGATAAGACACCTGACATACAGGGACAAATGGTATCTGAAAACTGGCAAAATGGATCAGAAGAGAGCTCATCTGTACAGGATTTGGATACAGATCCAAGTGGTGTAGAAAAAGTTAAAATGGGTGGGACAGCTGCCTGCAGAGTGCATGACACCAGGTGAAGTGGCATTTTGTGAGGTTCACGTGGGTGATGGCTGCCCTATGGTGTGTGTGCCCCATCTGCAGACACTGTCCTAACTAAGGCTGGAAAAGATATTGAAAGGTGTAATATGGACTGGAATATAACTGTTCATGGTAAACTGAATACTGTGGTAATGAGTCATGCAGCTTTGATAGCTAAAGATACAAGAAATCAGGGGAGTGGTCCTGGTACAAATACAGTGGAAATAGTTCCCCTACAGCCTTGGGACAGTAATACGGAGAGAGGTATTAGGAAACCTTTGAACCTGAAGCAAAGGGGCAGAAAGGTCAATAGAAAAGCCAGGGGGACCCCGTTAAGATCTCAGGAGAGAAAGTGGTTATGGAAGTGCACCCGGAAAAAGAATAGGGAAGGTCTGAGTAGAGCCCATAGCAGAGTGACAATGGGCTTGGGGAGAGACACCAAAGGAGTCATTGGGTAGAGTTCCCCTTTAGGAAAGGTATGGTTAGACCAGATTGGACCCCTGTAAGTGAGAGCTGGCACAGAGGTGCCAGAAGCTGTAAGTCTTGTGTTCTGTCCCCTACGGGGTCAAAACAAAGGGGGGGGATATGTGACAGTGTGGTGGTCTGTCACCCTGGATTCTCAACAAGGCAGGTTGAGGGGCTCCAGGGTAAAGGTTTGATACGGAGGAAAGTGGCTTTTCACTTTCCTCCTTTGTTTGTAAGGTCTGTTTTGGGATCTGGAGCCTGGAGATTTCAAAGAGATCTGGGAGGGATGAAATCTCCAATCCTGGGACCAGGTTTTGGGAATGGCCAGGAGACTGATTGCACAGGTGTGTGCAGGCCTTTAGAGAGAGTCAGGACCAGGGTTCTGGGCTCCACCCCGGCAGATAGGAGTCAGGTGGGCTCCACCCCGGCAGATAGGAGTCAGGTGGGCTTCGCCTAGAGAGGTGGAAGCCAAAAGCAGCAAGGGGCTGCTAGAGACTAGCTGTGTGCTAGTGGCCAGCTGTGAGCAAGAGCCATAATTCTTGAAGAAGTCTGCAGGAGGCAGACATCAAGCTGAGTGTAAGCCAGGAGGCTGAATCATTGAATTTTGTTTGATGGTAGATACCCCTGTGTGGGAAACTTCTGTTTTGAACTTTCATTTACATAAAAGTGGGCTAAAAAGGCCTTGAAAAGAAAGCGAGTAGCTGTTTGCGTTTAAAAGCTCTACCTCGTTGAAGCAAGTTCCCACAATGTATGTATATATATATATATATATATATATATATATATATATACACACACACACACACACACACAGTTAGATCCATATATATTTGGACACAGGCACAGGTTTAGATTTTTTTCGGTATTTACCAAAAAAATTCAAGCTATAGTTATATAATGGATAATGGATATGGTCTGAAAGTACTCTCAGGTTTAATTTGAGGGTATGTACATCCAAATTGGAGGAAGGGTTTAGGAATTACAGCTCTTAAGAGTAGCCACCCCCCCCCCCCCCCCCTTTTTCAAGGGACCAAAAGTAATTGGACAATTGAATATAATCATGAATAAAATGTTCATTTTTAATATATTTGGTGAAAATCCTTTACTGGCAATGACTGCCCAAAGTCTGGAACCCATGGACATTACCAAAGACTGGGTTTCCTCCATTCTGATGCCAGGCTCTAACTGCAGCTGTCTTCAGTTGTTCTTTGTTTGTGGGTCTTTCTGCCTTTAGTTTTGGCTTCAGAAGTGAAATGCATGCTCAATTGGGTTGAGATCAGATGATTGACTCAGCCATTGCAGGATATTCCACTTCTTTTCCTTCAAAAGCGCCTGGGTTGCTTTTGCAGAGTGTTTTGGATCATTGTCCATCTGTACTGTGAAGCGCCGTCCAATCAACTTTGCTGCATTTGATTGTATCTGGGCTGACAGTATATCTCTAAACACTGCAGAATTCATCCGGCTGCTTCTGTCATATCATCAATAAACCCAATGACCCAGTGTCACTTGAAGCCATGCATGCCATCACACTGCCTCCACCATGTTTTACAGATGACGTTGTGTGCTTTGGGTCATGAGCTGCTCCAAGCCTTCTCCACACTTTTTTCTTCCCGTCATTCTAGTACAGATTAATCTTAGTTTCATCCGTCCAAAGAATGTTTTTCCAGAACTGGTCTGGCTTTTTTAGATGTTTTTTGGCCAAGTCTAATCTGGCTTTTCTATTCTTCCGTCTTACGAATGGTTTCCGCCTTATGGTGAAAACTCTGTATTTGCTCTCGTGAAGTCTTCTCTTGATTTTAGATTTTGACAATGATACGCCCACCTCCTGGAGAGTGTCCTTCACTTGTCTGGATGTTGTGAATGGGTTTTTCTTTACCATAGAGAGGATTCTGTGATCATCCACCACTGTTGTCTTCCGTGGACGTCCATGCCTTTTTATGTTGCTGAGCTCACCAGTGCGTTCTTCTTTCCTCAGAATGTACCAAACTGTTGATTTGGCCACTCCTAATGTTGTTGCTATCTCTGATGGATTTATTTAGTTTTTGAAGCCTTACAATGGGCCTGTTTCACTCTCATGAACAGCTCCTTTGAACGCATGATGTAAGTTTACAGCAAGAGATTCCAAATATCGCACTTAGAATTAACTCCAGACCTTTTACCTGCTTAATTGATGAAGAAATAATGAAGGTGTAGCCCACACCTGGACATGAAACTGCTTTAGATTCAACTATCCAATTACTTTTGGTCCCTTGAAAAAAGGGGGGGTGGCTACTCGAGCTGTAATTTCTAAACCCTTCCTCCAATTTGGATGTACATACCCTCAAATTAAACCTGAGAGTGTGCACTTTCAGACCATATCCATTATATAACTATAGCTTGAACATGTTTTGGTAAATACCTGAAAAATCTAAAATTGTGCCTGTGTCCAAATATATATGGACCTAACTGTATACAGTATATGGCAAGTCTGCTATTTCGTCTACTTAGCATGGTTAGCTGCAGAATGTCTGAAAAGGTCTGGGGGAGCATACACATGACTGCTTCATGAGCTAACCAGCCAGATGATATGTATATAATCACAAGTATAACGGTCACCATACACCTTACAATCTGACGATAAAATCTTTGTACAATAAACTTTAGATTCACCAAAACAATGTATTTGTATGGAATAGGAATACCTAGCAAATCTATCAATTCAATCTGTATCCAGTCGGGCAAGCCCTTTTACTACATAGTTGATGGTAGATCTAAAGGAGATTGTACAATCAGATTGTAACATGTGTGGTGAGCTTTCAGATCAATGATGAACCCAACCTGTAATCTTAGATGCTGAACATCCTCCTGGCACTCTTCTTCTTGCCAGTGATCCTGCAAATATTCTTTAACATTGTCTTGAATGTAAGGGAACAAAATTTCCTATGGGACAAAACAATATAATTAATTACTGAGCCCTGCATGCAAAAAAAAAAAAAAACAATTAAAAAATATTAAACAATAGTCCTTGACATATTATTACAAATACATTTAAAGTTGTTGTAAATGTTTAAGGTTTTTTACACCTTAAAGTGATTCTAAAGGCTTATTTAAGCAGCCCAGATCCTCCTGTCATTGAATGCATGAAGGTAAAAAACCTTGAGCCTTTAGAACCACTTTAATGCATTCTCTGCCTTAATGTAAAAAAAAAGAAAAACCTATGTTCAGCTCCCCCCTAGCCCCCTCCAAATACTTACCTGAGTCCCATCTCAACCCAAAGTGTCCAAGAGCAGCTACAATACTCTCTCTCTCTCTCTATTCTCACTGGACATGGAGGCAGCAGGAGGAGCCATTAACTCCTGCTGCTCTCAACCAAATCCAATGAGGAGGGAGTGGGGGACAGGGCTGAGCCATACTGTGTCTGCCAAAGGACACACACAGCGCTGCTTGGGAGCCCACATGTGTGCCACCATAGGAAGTGGCTTCCTATGGTGGCATGGGGAGAAGAGGAGGAGCCAGGAGCTCCAGCAGGGGGACCAAGAGGAGAATCAGGACCACTCTGTGCAAAACCATAACACAGAGCAGGTAAGTATAACATGTTTGTTATTAAAACAATAACTTAAAATCAGAACAAATAGATTTTTTTAAATCTAAAATGCATATTTCCATTTCTGTGCGTCTGTATAAGCCAGTTGCCTTTGGTGGGGTTGTCCAAAAGGGCTTGGTTTTCTTTGTTTAAATACAATGGCTAGGACTAAGGAATTTATACGCTAAGAAAAAATGCCCAAGGGATCCTTTATTTTCAATGTCTCATGAGCCTCATGAACATTCTTAAACCATATTATTTCACAAGATGTGCATACTAATTTAGCTGCCTTGTGGGAGACCAAATCATAGGCTAATTGCAATGTACCTTAAACTCAAAGCAAACAATTAGGTTTTCCATGTTTGTAAATTCAACTGCAAATGTACAATTAACCAACACTAGAGGGAATCAAAACATTCACTTTAGTTTGGTATGTTTGCCTGCATGGGATAAAAATAATTGCTTTATTACAGGCATGTCTTGTATACATGTTGCAGTAATAAAAATCTGATGTTTGATCTTATGCCTGCCTTCACTTATGTTTTTTGTGCCTTCACATCTGTCCAATACGGCAGTTCCATTGTTAAATCACATGAGGTCAACAGGTCATCTATTGATCACTAGGAATATTGTTAATACATAAATGGGAGAAATTTACATGAGACAGATGGTGGTTGTGTCTTCTTGCTCATACACTTCCCCCTTTGTTGCCATTTTGTAACGAAAAGGCTGCATTTCAATAAAAGGAAATCAGTAAGTCACATTGAGCTTAACATAGAGGGGTGATGATTCAATTTGTAATACATTTCTGAAGGTGCAGTCGGAGGTACATGAATCTGTCGCAGGTTCCACCATTTGTCACAGTACCGCAAGACTAAATGGTATCTATGACAGGGGCTATGATCTAATCACATTACTCCCTAAATCCAATACCTACATTTCCATCAAATCTGGACAGCACCTGGCTGTGTATGGAAACTGGAATGACCACAATAGACATTCTCAATATATTTTCATTAGAGAAAAACAGGGCTACCCCAGCTGTGTTTACACAGCTGACCCAGCTGAAAGGTTTAACCAATTTTTTGGAGTAGACTGTTTAGTTAGTATTAGGACCCCACAGTCAATTAATCTCTTTGCTACTGAACAATTTAACAAGAAAAGCTGTATTAAGAAAAATACTTCAATTGCTAGCGGTCTTCTAAAAATGCCAGCTCCCTGGCTGTACTGATAATCCTTTGACCTGGAACAAGTATGCTAAGGAAAGTTGGTGAAAGTCAGAAGCCCTTGGTGCTTACCTGTTCTGGGTCAGTGACTCAAGCGTATTAAAGCCAGCTTGACAGCCAAGGAACTAGCATTTTAGGAAGGAGAGGTCAGTAATGAAGTTTCCGTAGCCGACTTCTTATTCTACAGATGCTAGTTGCCTGGCTGTCATGATGACCCCCTGGCTTTTCAGTCAATAACCCAGAACAATTACACACAGCTAAGGAGTTCTGTATTTACAAAAAGTTTAGCTTCAAAGGAGCTATTGCTGACCTATCTTTTGAAAACGTATATTTTTTTTCCAAGGAAAAAAAAATAATATCCCACTGCCTTGTGCCTTTGGGCTTCTAGGTGTTCATCCCAGCAGGGCAGCCTTTTTCAACCAGGGTGTCTTCAGGTTTCTGCAGGGGTGCCTTGGCAAAACTTCTAAATATTGCCCAAAATTTGCATACAAGCCAGCAGGTAGATGAATCCTGTCTTTTAGTTAAGCCGGCCACAGATGGATCGAATATCGTCTCGAACAGCAGTGACCAGCCGAGATTTGATTCATCCAAGGGCAGGCTGCCTGTGCTGAAGTCAATTTTTCGATTGACTTCAGGACAACCAGCCTGTTGGATTTTTTTGCATGCGATCACTGCAGCAGCTATAGCAGCCAGCATTGATCATTGTGTTCTGATTGCAGGGAAGGCTCCCTGGCACAATAGCGTTCCCAGAGGGATGGGGGAATGAGCAAATTTCTTTCCTTCCATCCATGTACGAAAGAAAGAAATGTGTGTAATCTATGGCTTGCTTTACACAAACCCACTGATTTTCATTGTGCACCATTACAACCTTCGAGCCGCCAGCACCCCAACAACCAATGACAACTTCAGTTGATAAGGGGGACATTGGGCACCATTCACAACATCCTTGTTTGCCTCTTCCCCGCCCCTCTCTGTCAGTACTGGGGTCACATAAAAAACTCCAACAGTAACCAGAAACCGGCGCTCAAATCTCTCTTGCTGCACTCAAAATGGAATAGTGCACTAGCTGAGGTGCCGCCATTGATAGATTGGGGAATCTTAACCACTAGCCTACAGGGCACTTATACCCCCTTCCTGCCCAGGCCAATTTCCAGCTTTCAGGGCTGTCACAATTGTGTGGTCATGCAACACTGTACCAATATGAAATTTTTATCATTTTTTTTTTAGACAGATAGAGCTTTATTTTGGTGGTATTTAATCACCTCTGGGTTTTTTATTTTTTCTTAAACCAAAAACCACTGAAAATAAAAAAAAACAAAACTTTTTTTTTAGTTTTTGTTATACAATTTTGTAAATAAGTGGTTTTTCTCCTTCACTGATGTGCACTAATGAGGCTGCAGTGATGGGCACCGATAGGCTGCACTGATGGGCACTGAAAGGAAGCTCTCATATATGGCACTGATAGGCGGCACTGACTGGCACTGTTAGGCAGCACTGTTGCACAATGATAGGCGGCACTGACTGGCACTGATAGGCAGCACTGACTGGCATTGATAGGTGGCACTGAAAGGCAGCTCAGATGGGCACTGATATGTGGCATTGATGTGCACTGGTAGGCACTGAAATGTGGCATTGATGTGGCACTGGCATGGATGAGCACTGACAGGTGCCACTCCTGGGGCTACACTGATCATAAGGGCACACTGATCATCAGTGCCCTGATGATCAGTGTACATGTCCCCTCTGAGGGATGCTGATTACCGGCTCTCCTCTCCTCTCGAGCTGTCAGCGTGACAGCTCGTGAGGAGAGGAATGCCGCTAACTAGCATTTCCCTATTTACATGCGATCAGCTGTGATTGGACACAGCTGATCACATGACCGAGCCGACATCTTCGGCTCTTTCCGTTGATCGGTGATCCGCTGTGTTCGAGGGACACAGCGCACCTCCGATCGCCGCGCATGCGCGGTTTAAATGGGAGGACGTCATATGACGTCCTCCCAGAACGAAAGAACCACCTTGCGCCTGTCACTGTACTATATTGGCGGGTGGGAGGCAGTTAATACTAGCATTAACTCAAAAAACAAAAATGTATTAAAAAGATGCAAAAACATACTCACAAGCCATAAAGGTCATAAAAACAGAGACAAGAAGTCAAATATCCCAATCGTGGACAGCATGCGTCCTCGCATAAAGTGCTAACGCGTTTCGGGAGTTGAACGCCCTTCCTCAGAGCAATAGATGAAGGAATTCCTCCCAATGCTCCGGTTTCTATCCACAATCTGAGACCCATACTACAATGTTAACTGGTTGCTTTTCAGTTTACTTTCATTTTGTTGACATTTACTTAACAAGCCTTGTGTGAGGTGTTCATGAAAAAAAAAAAATCTGTGTCTGTAGGGTTAATTTACCAACATTTATTGTATGCATTATTAGTATCACGTCTTATTTGCATAAAGTATCACCTGCAATAATTTAATAGCCAATTCAATAAAAAAAAAAAATCCCAAATGTGAGCTAAATAACGACAAAGCTTCATTAACCTCTCTACCGCCGTCCTATAGCAGAAATACTGCTACAGAGCGGCAGTGGTGCGCAAAATCACGGATATATATGTGATTTTGCATTTCCGGCCCTACCCGCGCCGCCATTTGTGGCCTCGGCTGTCAATCACCAATTACTCACCGGCACCCGGTGATTGTCAAGCATCTCTGACGGGCAGGGGTGAGGAAAACTGTTTGTATACAAAAAAGTTCTCTCCCCTGTCAGCTCTTGCACACTGCTTTGCATGGCTGTGCATAGCAGAGCCATGCAAAGCAGTGTGCTTACAGTGAAGCACAAACACAGCACACTTATTAAAATGGCACACAGCTAACCTTTTAATCGCCCCACATTAACCCCTTCCTGCCCAGTGCCATTAGTACAGTGTCAGTGCTTTTAATTAGCACAGATCACTGTATTGGTGTCACTGGGGATGTCAGCGACAACATATCAGTTCCCCAGTGTCAGAATGCCCGCCACAGTCCCGCTATAAGTCATTTGTAAACGCTATAACTTTCACATAAACCAATTAATTTACACGTATTGGGATTTTTTTTTTATTTAGCAAAGACACGTAGCAGAATACGTTTT